CTAGCTAGTGGCCAAATCAGATATGGTTCCACAATAATACAAAGAGTAATAAGAGAAGAAGGGAACTGCTGAGAAAGATTGAAGGCAAAAGTAGAAGGGGGTGGCAGAGGATGAGATGGTTAGACAGCATCACTGACTCTAGGGGCATAAATCTGAGCAAACCCTGGGACACTGGAGGACAGGGGAGCCTGAAGCGCTGCAGTCCATGGAGTCACAGACAGTCGGACACAGCTTGGCAACTAAGCAACAACAAAAATGAAATCATGGAGGGAAGGTTATCCAGTGTACACGCCGGGAATTCTGAGAGAAGGAGAAATCTGTCTTTGGGAGGCAGGATTAAAACTAGAAAATACAACAGAGAGAATCTGAAGAGAAAATGTGAAAGTCATTTCAAATTTTTAACTCCTAAATATGTACTGGAATGCTCTCTGACCTCTGCATGTATTAATTCTGTAATTTACCAAATTAACAGCCTGCATGACATGAGGCAAGTCAGCCTCTCTCAGTTGCTTTGTCTGTAATTAAAGGAGATTTAGGCCAAAATTTTTAGAAAAGTATGGGGATTTGAAGCAGCTTAGACATACCTAGCTCATCCTACTGGATACACAAACATCTTCTAAAACATTCCAGCAAATCGTCATTCAACTGTGGCTTGGATAAAAAACAGGGCTAAGGGACTCAGTACCTCCTAGGAATGTCAATTTAAGTTTCAGATTGCTCCTAATTAGGTTTACCATAAATTGATCCACGACTCTGCTAGATAATTTCCAGCTTTTTAAATTTCACATCTAAAATTACTATGCAAAATCCTTTCCTCCACATAATACAATGATAATAGCCCCACTGCCACTTTTATCACAATATGAATTAGTGGTAAGACTTCTAGTCTTAATTCCACCACTGTCTACTTGACATTGGCCCATAATTCGTTATATCTGGATTTTAACGTCTTCCTTTATAAAATGAAGGACTTAGATTTTGTCAAATGTCTCCTGTAATACTGACAATTCCTTCCTGATTATATTTTTGTCTTTAACTCAGAGGAACATCACTTAGTCTTCACTTACTTTTTAGAGTGAGGTTCTGGGACTTCTTTAATGAATAAATGAGTATCCTTTTCTTCTTCTTCTTGTTTTTGTTAACTCTTCTATTTATTTAGAGTGCATGAACTAAAATCTTATTCTTAGTAAGATGACAAATAATTTTAGATGTTTTGCCTGCCACCTTCTGATCACACTTTTCTAGTGAAAAGTATTTAGTGTTCTGTGGACTTAGCCTGTTCTGCTGATGGACAACACAATGCCTGTCTTATAGAAGTCACTTAAATATTGTTCCAAGATCTACTTCCCTGGAACCACCCATTGGCTCTGGTTCTGCCCTCTCCAGCACAGCGGACTAGACATGTCCTTGTGATACGCAATCCCTCTATAGCCACTGAAACACAACTAACACAGTTTCTCCCAACCTTCCCCAAAGCTTTGCTTCTCCAAGCTAAAAAGTTCACACTTATTTGTTTCCTGTATCTTTTACTATCTAGGTTCCTGTATTCATTCCTGGATGAATTTTAGTTTGTCAATATCCTCTTTAAAATGTGATGCCAAGAACATAAATATAATACATTTCATTATTTTTGCACAGACACTGAGCCCAATTCAAGACCAGGAAGTTATTGATTCAATTAAATATGTTTATTGCACGTTTCTCTTAGCACCAGAAAGCATTCTGCTTGCTCTGTGCCTTCATACCTCTTAATCTCTAGTTATCAAATCCATCAATAAAAGCCAGTCCTCTGTCTTCTGAAGTGGTGTCATGGATTTCAATTAGTCACTTCTTAGTGCCACTATCAGCTAATACTAGGCTAAGTGATGTATTGTCAATTTCTTGCGTTCTTATGTCACGTGAGCAGAAATATTGAGAAAATAAATATTCTCCTCTCTGAGAAGCTATGAAATGCAGTCCATCAGAAACAACATTGAGAACAAATATCGAACAAATTATTTACTACATTTAGGATTACAAGTAGGATGACTTGTCCACCAGGGCTATTTTAAGATGGTTTTGACCCTTCAGAACCAGATCTGTGTATGTCTCTCTTTAATACATCATAATGAGCGTGGTTTTGTCAGATCTTCACCAGCAAGTGAAACTGAGTTGAAGCAAAAGCCTGGGTAATTCAGACAAAATACCTTTTCAGCCTATGGAGGCTTTGATCAGTATTGAAGGCCAAAAACAAAAAGTGCTATCATGTTACATTAAATTGAGACTAAATTGTGTCTATCCTCTACCATCATCACTATAAAAAAGGGGAAAAAAAAAGAAAAAGGAAAGAAAAACTAGGAGAACTTTGCTATCGAATTGTTTGCACCAATTTCAGGGAATACTGTCTGATGTGGAAATGGTGCCACAGGTTCTGCTGGTGCTGCAGGTCTGAGCTCTTGCCTTCCCCACTAACCCATCCATTAAGGAACAGCCACAGTGTGAGACCAGGATGAGTCAGAATGAGCATCTTCTTGTGTTTGATGCTCATGAATGAGAGACACAGCTACTCCCTAGCTCCAGGATTCATTCTGCCTCCAGTCAAGCAATGTTGTGCCTATGCTAAGAGTGTTTCCTATTTACCTGTTTTTCAAGTCAAAAAGTCTTTAAAATGTAGCTAATCTGTTACTCTCAGACTCAAAATAAGCCCTGCCATCTTTTTGTGAAGACAAGAGAAAGAAAAATGCTTGGTGTTTTGGGGTTTGTGTTAACCATCTAATTTTTTTTTTATTTCCCCCAAACACAGCATTTCTACTCACTTCAAAGATTCTCCCCCAAAATCCCTCTTAGTAGTTGCTCTTCCTGGGATTAGCAGAATTTGAGATTTATTTCCCCTTGTGTAATAGTATCCACTTTCTCCTCCCGGTTACCAAGAACATTCTTATTCAAAAATTGCTTTCTTTCTATAACCAAGTCTTCCGTAAAGCATTTGTCAAGAACTTGCTTAAAATGGTACTGTCGTTATCTGAACTGGGAGAGAGGAGGAATCTGAACCTAGACTTGCATTTGTAGCAATCTACAAGATCTAAATAAATGAGAGGGGTGTCCTTACAAAGTGTTAGAAGCAACATGCCAACCAATGCATTGTTATCAGAAGAAAAGGTGTTTGGGGCAAAGAAGTGATCAAGGAGTCAGAAGAGATTTTTCTGTCCTGCTTTGGCTCCTAGCTAGTCCTGATTTCATGGGTAAATCCTTCAACCTTGCCAAGCCTCAATTTCCTTATTTATGAAGGGAAAAACAATCCCTTCTTGCCAAGACTCACTGATAAAGAGCATTTGGAAAATCCAGATAGTATATACAGTGCTTGTATTTTTAAAGCAATAGATTTGCTCCTAAATAATATAGACTGGATAAAGGTCTCACTCTGACACTTATCTCTGCTTAAGTTAATATTTCCCCAAACAAGCTTACTTGAAAAAAAAAAAAAAGTCTGCTGCTACATTCATAGAATCATAGAACTTAGACCCAGAAGGATCTTTAGGGTTCATCCTCTTATTAGCGAAATAAGGAGCCAAAAATTGTAATTAAATGGAACCCAAGGTCATACAGCTGTAATTCATGTTAATTAACGTTGGCCATTAGGACCCAAGAGTCAGGACTCGACATAGCCTCTTTTCCAGGTTTCCTGGGCTCTTTTACCTAAATACACAACCAGGACGAAAGGAAGGTCGGAAACAGGTCGCCTCTGGCACAGGTGCTCTGTCTGAGAAGTGTACTGAGTACGTAGTGTCGTTACACAATTCGTTTAGCACAATTTCAAACTCCTATAATCAAGAGACCGCTGTCCTTTCAGCATTCGAGAGTCAAAAATACCATCTGCAGAGACCTTTTACACGTAGGTGGAACCCGAGACTATTACACGATTCAAAACAGAAAAATCGGCGTCGGGGAGATGGGACTCAGTACCTCCGTTAAGTAAAAGTTATTAGCCCTGCTCATTCCTGCCGAGGACAGGAAATTGCCCGGGGCTGAGCGGAGGGGGCGTGCGCGCAGGAGGTCGCGGTAACAAACGATTCCCGGAAACTCGTGTTCGTTCCCAGTTTTGCCCGGCGAGCCCTTTATTATCTACAGAGAGTGCAAACCCGGGAAAAGAATAGGAGACCTCCCAGGGGAAAGGAAAGGGGGGCGACGGGCAGGGCCAACCCTATTCCTGCCCCCACCTCAAAAGTCCCCAAACAAGAGGCACGCCTGGTAGAGGATTCGCATTCTCCTTTAGGCTTCATCTTGCTAAGATTCCCTAAAATGCAATGAGAATGAGCATTTCCCCACAGAACCCGAGAGACGCTCAGTTTTAAAATATCAATAGCCGGTGGGATGTGGAAGAGTTGCGGGGCAGGCGCGCAACAAAGTCGGGAGCGGGAATTGCTCGATGGTTTTCTCTACCCAAGTTTCTCGCCTCCTAATACGGGGGCCGGGGGTCACCAGAGTGAAAGCCGCGGGGGCCTGGGGGACCACAAGCTCAAAAAGGGTTCTGGGTGCAGAACCTAGAGCTCTTGAGGAGAACCTTGGAGAGAGAGGATGGAAACGCCGCCCCGAGAAGAGGAGGGAGTCGGGGAGAGTGGGAGCGTGGCGGCGAGCAGCGCGCGAGTCTGTCCCGGAGTGGACGTGAGCGGAACACCCGGTCCTTACCTGCAGCCCATCGGTCTGCCCAAGGAAGGGCAAGGGGTCCGGTGGAGAGGCCGCAGCGCCTGGACAACGAGCGGGGACAGGTGGCTGAGGGCGAGGGCCGAGGGGTCTGCAGTCGCGGCAGGGAAGAGGTCCCCGCACCGAATTAGGGCGCCGAGAGCCCAAGCTCCCGTGGGCGCTGCCGAAGGCGCGGGACGCGCGGACGAGCGAAGCAGTGGAGCCCGGGCGCACGGGCCCACAAGGGTTGGAGGGTTAACAGGTGTGTAGCGTTTGTCTCCCAGGGGCCGATCTCCCAGGCCCGCCCCGCGGCGTCCTCCCCGCCTCCCCAGCCCGGCGGCTCAGAGCACGTGCGGCCCTGAGCCCAGTTCCCCCTCGTCCCCAATGTCCACCTCGTCCTCCGGCTCCGTCAGCACGAAGGAGCCGGCGGGCAGGCCCAGCCGAGCCTCGGCGGGTGCGGCCTCGGGGCCGCGGGGGCTGCCCTCGGGGCTCTCGGGCCCATCAGTCGCTTTGGGTTCGTCTTGACTTTTCCTCAGCTGCTTTTTATGCTTCATCCTCCGGTTCTGGAACCACGTTTTCACCTGATTCCAGGGAGAAAGAAAGAAAAGCACGTCATTCCTTCAGACTCAGCGAAGATAAAAGCGATTGCTGGGGTTTAAGAAAATAGACCTCAACCCACTGACGAATTATCCAGAAGCTGTTGACTGCCTCACCCTTGGGTTAGGTCACACCTGAACGGCTCACAAGTTGTCGTCTTAGCTTGAATGGGAACCAGATATCCTAGGGCTCTCAGAAGTAATTGCCCCAAAATAACAACGAGGCTCAATACGGTGTGTTTAGTACATACTAATACTGCTATTAATTAGAACCTCCAACAGTAAGTGCTGCATGGGTGAGCTTCCTTTCCGTTCAACTCCCGTTTCTCTGACTGTGACATCTAAATACCTGGTCCAGCAAGACTCCTGGACAGGAAGAGGAGAGAAGCGGACTTGCTGCTTCTCATCAGAGAGAAAATCACTGGGGCCTGGCAGGCCTGCGCTTTCACAGCAAGTTGGGTTTCAGAGAATAGAGGAGAGGGAGTGGAGCCAGGCGTTTTGAGGTTGCAGGTGAAAAGCATTTGGAAGAAAGTGAAAACAATTCTCCCACTCAGGACAGGGAAATAGGAAGAAGGCTCATATTTGTGCATGTGTGTGAGAGTGTTAGGGAGAGGGTGGGTATGAAGACTTGGCGGCTGTGAGAAACATTAAGAGGGGGGAAACCTTATGTGGACTTCTCTCGGGTCAAGAACCCTCTTATTTCTTACTGATTTGCCTCTGACCCGGGCTACTGCCCTGATGGGAAAGGAGTGGGGGAAGGCGCAGAAATGGTAGTTCTCAAACAGGACGTGATCATCAGAATCATTCGAGGGGGGTTTTCCTCCGTGTCCGGAACCCGCTCGAGAGATTTTGCTTCAGTGACTCAGACAAGAGATTGGAAATGTCGGTAGTCTTCCTACGGGTCTTTGGAGAAGTCTAGAATAAAGGAGAGCGGGGTCGCTCCGCTCTACGGCCCGCCCAGAGGCGTTAGGAGTCGCGGAGAACTGTCCTCCCCCTCCTCCGGCCCACCTGCGTCTCCGACAGGCTGAGGGCCGTGGCCAGCTCCACCCGCTCCGGCGTGGACAGGTAGCGCTGGATCTCGAATCTCTTCTCCAGGCCCGAGAGCTGCGAGTCCGAGAAAACCGTGCGAGCTTTGCGGCGGCGGCAGTGCTTCCCCGGCAGCTCTGGGTGCTGGGGGTGCGGGAACAGCGCGGGGACCGGCACCCCTGGGGAGAGAAGAGTGGTCAAGTGGGCAGAGAGCTCCCCTCGCCCCACTCCCACCCTAGTTCCCCGGCAGCCCCTCCGCCTCGCGCCCCCACCAGTCCCGCCCCTCGCCCCCAAAGCTTCTCTTAGGAATCGCAGGGCAGGGGGGAACAAATTGCAAGAATAGCGCTTGGAGATCTTTATCAGAAAGGCCATTTGTAAATACAAACAGTAAACAGTAAGTAAAATGGAAAAGAAAATTATCAAATAGATCCGGAGGCCTTTGAAAATGTCCTCTTGGAGAACAACTTCTGGCTGCGCCTACCAAAATATTCGTGCAAACGTCGAGTGGTTCAGCAGCTAGCTATTCCTCCCCACCCGCCCCCACCCGATCCTTGCAGTCTTCTCTGGACACTCAGTGACAATCAGTGATGTCCTGGGGCTGATGGAAGCAGTGAATGTGATCCTGCCTCACAACCGTACTTAAAAAGCACCTTTCTCTTCACTGAGCCGCCCCGGTTCTCCCGCCTGCAACCAAAGGGAATAGACCAACAGTGAAGCTCCTGAGCGAAAACGGAGGGGTAATTTCCGTCTCGCTCATTTCCTGTCCGTTTCGGGGAAGCGCTGGGGACCCCGCTCTCTGATCTGGTTCTCATTCTTTTTCTCGTTCTTTCCCTCCAGCCCCACGCAGAAGGATTGAAGCGCCTTGCCTCGGGAGACTTCTCGAGTCTTTCCTGACCCTCGCAGGCTTTACCGTGTCTGAGACGCGCCAAGCGGACCAGCCGCCACAAACATCAGTATCGGCTGATTCCGGGGAGAAAAAGCAGAAACAGAAAACAAGTGGTTCGTGTATCTCGGGCTTTGTCCGCTATTTGCGGGGAGCATGGGTGCAGCGCTAAAGAGCTGTCTCTGGCCCGTGGTGAAGCCAAAACCAAAAGGCGAATTCGGTCGCAAGTTTTATAATTGACCCTCCAACACAGTGCCCCGAAGTCTGGGTTTTACCGCTTCACAAACGCTTTAGCTTTTGTCGTGGATTCCAGCGCCCACATCTCACAGACTGTCTCCTGTCTTTCCAGACCCCACCCCGACCGGGATTGTTTTTCCCGCTGCGCTCTGCATCTGGACTCAACGAATCACTCTATTCGGGCTGTAATGAAGAGGCCGGAAAAGAAAGTGTGAATGTGGCCTTTCAGAGAGAGGCGGACCCCACATATCCCTGTCCCAGCCAGACTTTGCTGGTCTCTGCTCTTTGCCATGCCTCGGAAATCAGATTACTTTGGCTGCGGCTCCAAAGACGCCAGCAACTGGGGCAAAGGAGGGCAGCCCAGCCCAAGACTGTGAATTAAATGATGGATGTTGGAAGTGAAGAGGGTTAATGAACAGCCTCCTCTCTTTTTTTTCTTACCTTTTCTCCCTTATTTAGGCCAGTCCAGACCTTCAGTCCTTAAAATATCCCAAACCCTCCTTTACTTCTAAACCCCTGAAGTATCTGCGAATGCTCAGCACCTGGAAGGAGAAAGCTGGCCCCACTGGGGCCTTTTGAGCTTCTGGGCTGAAAAGTTGAGTTCCCTTCCATCGGGTGGGATAGTCAGGGGTCCCCCTCAGTGTGAAAGAGATCGCGATGGGGACACACAGATGGACCAAAGTGACCAAGGCCAAGAAAAAGGAAAGTGAACACTGCGCATCAAGAACACTGCCCAAACCTACAGCCACTTCTTGGCTAGGCATGCTTCCTTCATTATAAAAAGTACAGAGTTACCACCCTGGGTTGGCATGCCTCAAGGGAGCTCCCTGTGTCCTCAGCTATATCCCCAACATTCTTCCCCTGTCACTTAGAGGAGGAGGCCGCCAAGCCAGGCCCAGGCAGCTCTGGCCTTTCCTCCGCTCCATCACAGGCTCAGAGTCTGCTGGAAGACCTGTTCTTGCTCCCCATTCCTTGAGACCCCTGTTACTTACCCGAGGTGGTGAGGAAATAAGGGTGGTGGTGGTCTCCCTTATGTAGTGGGTGATGGGGGTGAGGAGCCAGGAGGGTGGGTGTGGGCATGAGTGGGTAGCCATAGTCTAGCAGAGGCACCCGGGAGGCCAGAGTGCTGGTGAAGTGGTCAGGGGCCACCTCCCTCAGCGGCTTGGGCTTGTGTAGCAGGATATCCTCGATGAAGAAGGACGTGGGCCTCTGAGATGACGCCGGGTGTAGAGGGGAGGTGAAGTTGAGATTCATCTTGAACCGAGCGCCTGCCACAGAGCGAGGGCCGGGGACGAAGTGTAGGAAGCAAGCGGCGTCTCACCACGCCTGGTCGAGAGCCAACCACCCTCGAGCTCGGATCCCTGATGCTCTCTTGTCGGCCTTGGGCTACCCCTGGAGCTGGAGAGGCGAGAAGATAAGCTCCTGGGTAGATTGGGTCTTCGTGTAGGAGAATTGGCAGCTTGGAGAGGGGAGCTGGGAGAGCCAATGGCAAGGCTGCCAGAGGCAGAGGGGAGGGTGCGGTGGGCGCGGGGCGGGGCGGGGCGGGGCGGGGAGCTGTCCGCGGTGCTGAATGCGACCGGCCAGGCCCGGGATGAGTGGAGCGGAGAGAACTGGATTTTTGCTCTTTCCAGGTTTCTGGACCTCAGTTTCTGCCTGGCCACTGCAGGAGCTGCCTAGCTCCCCATCGTCTTTTAAAGAAAGCGAAAGAGAGAAGATCTCTACCGTCGGACAAACTCCTCTTTAGAGAGCAGAGGGCATTTAAGGGGCCCTGAAGCAATAGGAATAAAGCACGTACTTCAGCATTGGGGTCTGGGCTTTAAAACTTTAGAGCAATGATTGAAGAAGGGGGAGAGAAGAAGTGAGGAGAGAGCCTGTATCTGCTGACCCAACTTAAGTTGATGGCTAAGGGATGACTGGATTGTGGAGGTAAATAAATGATCATAAATAATGTTTTTACATTATTTACCTCAGTTTTAGAGGGTGGTGTGAGGAAAGTTATATCTACACTAGTCAAGTAATCTCATCTGTATAAACTACCAGAACTACCTCTTAATGACAGCCTCCTCCTCCCGTCAAATCTCCACTACTTTCTCCTCATTCCACTCACATGACCTGCTGCTTCTGCTATACCATCACTTGTCAATCAACCCTAGCCTGCAAAATAATTGTACTGTGTTTTTGTCTCCCATTCCCTTTTGCAACCTTTCTTTTCATTTTCCTCCCTCCCAATCTTTAGGGTTTTTTTCCCCCCCTGTTTGTCTTTTTCTAAACTGTTACATTTATTTCCCTGGAGTCAATTTGCTAAAATTAAGGTGATCATCTACAACACAGCAGGGGTAATTTCAGCTCGCATCTCCGAAAATTGCTCTAATTATTGATGTTAAACTCAGGGAAATTAAAAGAAGCCACTTCTCTTCCATCTCTCCATTTTTAAGCTCTAATTTGTTGAAATCTAGTCATCATCACAATTCCAATCACTACTGCTAATAGTAAAAGTGTTTTAATAGAGACTGAGTCCACACAACCCATGCTATTAGATAATTAGAGGAGGTGTTAGAAAGCCAAGTGCTAATCCTTGGGCGCACGGGTAGGATTTCCATCTGATCTAGCAGGTAGAACAAATTAATTACCAGAATCAATTAGGCCCCAAACTACAGAGCTCCAAGAAGTGGGAGCATCGTATTCCATACGGATGAACTGGTAAATGGTAAATAGATGAGGAGAGTGAGAGGAAGGAGAAAGATGGGGAAAATAACTTTAAAATAAGATCTTGGAAAGTAACCCTCTAAACAAAGTCAGAACTCATGTCCTGGAGCCTGAAATGTGATCTTTTAAAAGTTTATAATGGTAAGAACTGAAGACCCCAAAGCAGGTGGTCTCAGAGAACACAGCAGACTTCTGGGAGTCAATGCTTGGTCTTAGCTCTGGGTCCAGGGGAAGACAAAGAAGACTCTTCGTGAAGAGGTGGTGGGGGTGACAGTCCACACTTGACCCACATCTACCAGCTCCCAGTGAGAGCTGAGGCATCTTGTCTCCTGAGACTCTGGAGGCAGAGTGGCCACTGAGGGAATGGTGCATATACAAACAGCAGAAGCCACTGTAAAGAGCCTTTGGGTCAGCACACCTACACTGCATCCCTACACGGAGCAGACTCACATCCACCCTTGAGGGTGGGATTTCAGCTTCACTTGGGGGTGGGGACTAACTTCAGCCTCAGAAACGACAAGATTTCTGAAAGTCCCTTGGGAGTAGGGGCAGTAAAACACTCTGTTGGATAGCAGTTACCTTGGAGCCAAGGTGCTGCAAACCCTTTCTCAGAATTCAACCTTACACCTCTCCTGGGATGTTCGCAGGATCCAAGGAGGGCAGGGAGAGGGCGAGGTACGCAGCCTGCTTAGTCCTTACTGTCTCCTTACTTCATATACTTTTATTTCATACTCCCTCTTCTCCCTCCAAGCTAACGCTGTCTCCCCAGGCCCTGCCCACGCTCCCCTCTCTCTACTGCTCACACCGGACCTGCCTGCCCAAGAGCCCAGCCCCACCAAGGAGAGCTTGAAGGCCTTTTCCCCAGGAGTCCAGCCCTCCCTCCTCTGCCTCTGCAGAACTTGGGAACCTGGGAAGTGAGAGACGGAGGGAGGAAACTGGACAGCTCTGAGAAGGGGCAGGATCTCCAAGACTGCTAGAGTTTTCCTTGCCTTTCCCCTTTTGATGGTGCTGGGAAGCAAAGCTCCGTGACTGAGAGAGTGGACCCATGTCCACACTAACGCAGGCCCCTGGAGGCTCAGAGGTGGAAATTGCGGATCGGAAGTGGAGGCTGAGAGAGGGATTCCTCCGACGCCACCCCTTTCCATTAAGGATACACCCTTCTTCCATGGGGCTCAGGTAATCTCAGCTGGGACCCCACTAGGGGCTTTAGGGCCTGAGTCCAGCACAAGGGCAGGCTGTGCTGGTGGGGCTTGTCCCACGAAAGTTCCTTTTTCCTCTTAGATAGTTACTACAGCCCAGACTCTTGGGAAATCAGGAGGTGAAGAAAGCTGACAAGTTTCTCTGTGATGCTGGGGCTCTGGTCTGGCCCATCCTACTTCCCAGGTGGGATGAGGGAGGCCCCCGAGGTGCCCAGCCCCTTCTTGAGATTCAGTTTTGGGGTAAGGCTCAGGGTAGGCTTCCCAGATGACTCAGTGGTAAAGAATCCGCCAGCCAATGCAAGAGACACAGATTCAACCCTGGATGAGGGAGAGCCCCTGGAGAAGGAAATGGCAACCCACTCCAGCATTCTTACCTGGAGAATTCCATGACAGAGGAGCCTGGCAGGCTACAGTCCATGGGGTCGCAAAAGAATCAGATAGGGCTGAGCAACTGAGCCTGCCTGCATGATGAAGGCTCAGGTCGGAAGGAAGAGGCATTCCAGAGTCAACAGGCCTCCCTCCCCCCTCCTCTCCCACCAGTCTACCTAAGGAATAAAGTAGTCATATCGTTATATAGCTTGCAAGTTGGCCCTTATAAGCAGAGATATTTCATTGCCTACATTATCTCCACAGTCCAGACCAGCATCATCTAATTAAAGTATAACACAAACCACATAAGTAATTTAAATTTTTCTATCAGTCACATTTGAAAAGTAGAAAGAGGTAAAATAGTAATGTATTTCATTTAACCCCAATATATAAAAAATATTATTATTCAACATGTAATCAATATAGGTATCATTGAGTTTTTTGCATTCTTTTCTTTATACTAAATCTTCAAAATCCAGGGTGTATTTTATACTTAGTGCACATCTCTGTTCAAAGTTCAGACTAGCCACATTTCAAGTGCTCAATAACACATATGGCTAGTGGTTACCTATTGAACAATACACAGTTAATTGCCATAATTCCTTTTGCCCTTTTCCAATGTAGGTATTCACAAACAGAAAATGGAAAGCAGTTGTTGAAGCCAGCCTCCAACATTCTCAATGCTTGCCTTTCATCCATCTATGATATTCTATTATTGTGAGCATTCATTGAGCATCTACTGTCTTGAAGGGTACTCACTACCCATCTTCACAAGCTTTCCCAAAGCCTTAGGAGATTAAAGAAATGCACTCATGTTACATTTGTTTTTTTATTCTCATTTGACCAAAATTGATCTACCCAGAATCAGCAGGCTGTAATTGTATGCCAGGCTGACACATAAATTCAGATCCTATTTACTACCTGAGCAAAAAAATAAAGATCAAATGAATCCCCCCTCAACCCACAAGACCTGATCAAGCTCCTGTTTATGGTTTCAGCTGAAGAATTATTAATCTAAAGAGAGAGAATGCATGTTTCTCAGGGAGCTAATAATTAAAAAGTCCTTCTCTCTTTCATGTCAGCCTCATCTAAAACTGTCATCTGAACTGAGACTTGGTTTCCCGAAAAGATAACCCTACTGATGATCAAAGAAAGAGACTGGTTCCATTAGTCAAGATGCCTATACCGCAGCCTTCAAAATAGAAAGAAATGTATTTTAGAAGGATCTGAGTAACACACTTTACTCATAACATTTTGTATTATATTGCTTGTTGTCTGTTTCAACTTACCTTCTATCTGAGTACTTTATTTTAAGCACTACCAAAGTGGATGACATGCCGAGAAAGAGAACAAGAGTCACCAAATGCTTCCTGCAAATGTATCTTCAAATAATGCTTTTACACTGAAAATTAGGATGTGAACTCTCATGAGAACACACTCAAGGATAAGGTATTTAAATCATAGTATTCCTAACCTAAGAAGAAATAACTCTATCCAGTTTGCTCATTGAGGATAAGGTCTGAAGAGTTAAAAACTTCCATTTCTCTCTTGAAGTTCTCTGTGCTGACTTTGCCCTCTCAATTCAAAACATGCTTCACAAAGTGACAGGAAAAAAAAGACCTGACATTAAAGGTTTGAAATATGAGAGAGTACATATCATTTCTTAATCCTCTAAGAAGTATATAGTAGAATAAGAATGAGGTTTGAATAAGTTTCTCATTCATATTCCACCATTTCCTCATCAAAACCCCAAAAGACATCAAGACCCCAAAACTAAGTGTATTACCAGAGGGGAAAAAACCTAATAAGCTTACAAAATGCCTTTTAAGTATTCTTTTCTTCAGTTCTAAACCATTTAAATTCTATGTCAGATTTAAAACTTAGCACCTACTAGCACAATGTACTTTAAACAACAATACAAAATTAGTATGCATAGTTTCAAAAATAATGAGTTGCTACCATAATACTTACTATGTGATT